GGGTTTAAAGATTCAAGTTCGGAAGATGAAAGCAAAGCGCATGCAGGATAGGAGGTGTAATTGAAACATTTTCCTTCTTTGAGGTAATTTGAATAAAAACAATTATTAATAAAAATGTCTCATCAATAAAAATTAAAATAAATATAAAATCTCGTCAAAAATCCTTGTTAAAATGGTTGATGTGTTGTTGTGACTTGTGAGCATGCCACGAAGAATATTCATAAAACAAAAATGATTTTTTTAGTTCATAAAAGTGATTTTTTTTTAATACGTTTTCATGACCTAATGATGATAAATTGTAAACGACATATTTATTGATGTTATTATTATCGTAAATGTTTGAGTTATTGACGTTATCGAGTTACTTTAAATGTTTTATGTGTTATTGTGAGCATGCCAGGAAAAATATTTATAAAAAAAAATGATTTGATACGTGAAAAAAAATACTCCTTCGGTTTTAATTTGTTGGAATTTGTCGACTTTTTTTCTTCATTAAGATAGATTTTTGTATTTTTCTATGCATTTTAATGAACTAACAATGATAAAATGTAAACGACATACTTATTAATATTATTGAATTATTATTGGCGTGTTATGGAAAATTGTTATAATACATTTATAGTTAAGCATTAACGTGTATTCTTAATTTGTAAAAAATCTAACATCTAACGAAAATTCTTGAGAATGCATAAAAAGCTTGATAAATAATTTGCATTTACAATTTATCTTATTTTCTTATTTTCTAAAGCATATTGACAGACACATTTTGAAGAAATATTTACATTTCCATTTTTTCTTATTTTCCTATTTTCTAAAGCCTATTGACAGTCAACATTTGAAGAAATATTTACATTTCCATTTTTTTTTCCTATTTTCTAAAGCATATTGACAGTCAACATTTGAAGAAATATTTACATTTCCATTTTTTTTTCCTATTTTCTAAAGCATATTGACAGTCAACATTTGAAGAAATATTTACATTCCCATTTTTTTCTTATTTTCCTATTTTCTAATGCTTATTACAGTCAACATTTGAAGAAATAATTGCATTTCCATTTTTTCTTATTTTCTAAAGCATATTGATAGTCACACACATTAGAAGTGTGCTTGTAAGAAGTCTAACTTGAATAGAATTTATTGACCGAACAAAATTGATTCAAAATTCTTATAAACCGACCGGTCTAATATATTCTCAAATCAAAAACCGGAGTTTAACAAAACTTGAGATAGTAAAGACAAATTTCAAAGTTTCTCAAAAGTATTCATTCTCCATTTGATATATCTTTCAAATACTAATAACACCAAAAAGTTTTTCTGTCTTGTAACTTCTCTACATATGCAAAAGACCAAAAGAAATTACACCCCAAAAGATTGATTATGTGATATTGTTGTGTTTGTTTCGATCAGATCCTCTTGAAAATGTTTGAGATCAAATGGTGCTTAAGTAGAACCTTCTTGTTTAACCTTGTTTCCTCTGGTTTTCCAATCTCTAATCATTACCAAACTCGTTTCTACTTCCGTAATACTCGCCTCTAGCTTCAATGCCATCTCCTCTATTGCAAGCTTTCTCTGTTTCAATCTCTCATCAATCTCTTCTTCTTCCTTCTTAGCTTCACTGCACCTCTGTTTTTCTCCATCTTCATGTAGCCAACACTCTGATTCCTTTCTAGATATGTTCCTTTGAGCAACTGTCATT